CAACCCACAACAGTCCCAACACCAGATCCATCTGGAAGGCTGTCCTACAAATGATGCGGTAAATTGCGATTTTCGCTAATCGAAATGGTTCAGGAGAATATTTTGCCAGAAATTTTTAAGAGTAAAAATTTTTATGGATGCGTGTTTACGTGTGTGGATAGCTGTGTGGCACGGTGCCAATTAGATAAATGACAAGTTTTATGCCTTACTTATTACGACGCAGATAATAGCAATAACATACAAAATGTGACGCTTGGGCTCTGACGAACGGGATGACCTGCTCATCAGTGGAATTAGCAAAGGGGTTCCAAGGTCGAATAGTTCTGGCTTCAAGAAGAAGGTGTCCGAGTCCCAGTAGTATTCGAAGATTGCGACGGCAGGAGTTGTAGCTAGCGAGTCGGAATGATGTCGGTCGAGGAGACTGAAGTCGACGAAGAAGCTGAAAAAGAAACCGAGCCACGAAGAATGGTAGGGAGGTTTATAAACGGAGTAAGAATCGCCCCAACAGAGGATGTGATAGTTTTTTGGAGAGGTTGAAAATGTACCAAAATGTAAAAATGGTCATTAGGGTAAAGGGAAATGTGAAAAGAGAAAATGGAAATAAGGGTTTCTAAGGGGGTTAAAAAAAGGATTGCAAAGCAAAAATAACAAAAGTGCAGCATGTGCGAGTGCAGATGCATTCCAAAATACGACTAAGACGGGATAAAGGGGACGAATGTATAATAAGATTTTCACAGGTGTAAAAAAAAGGAGGGACGAAAACGAGGAAAATTGTAAACACACAGGAATGCAATTGGCATTTCTGACTCATAGATTAAAAAAAGAGACGAAAAAAAAACATATAATTTTATAATTAGAATTGCATACTTTACATAAGAAAATAGCGTCAGTTTGTAAATAAACTGCTAATGAGGGATATCTCGGCTCTTGAAATTGTATATATCCCTGCTGGGCACCGCGCCTGGATCTCATCAGCACGACGGTTTTGGTCTCAAATTGTTTTCAATAAAATATTTGTCAGATTTCTAAACAAGTGAAGAAATATCTAATTAGTACTTTTAGTGCACAGTGTGTTCAGCAGTCGTCCAGCTCTCGACAAAAAAATTTCCGAATGGCACAATTACTGTTAAACGATTTGTAATGATTCAAATTCCCCGTAATATGTTGAAGCAAAAAAAAAAAATAAATAGGGCTCACGTACGGGCACGTGAAAACTATGGCGGGAAAATTCATAACTCGCGAATGAAATAAATGGTCAGACTAGCCGGTGCGATCATGCGTTTTGTGCAATTCAGCCCATCGAACGATTGCCTATTAATGATG